GAGTTTGACTTTCGATACCCTTCGATCGATACTTGCTTTATTCTACTATTATACTACTTTCTCCAAAAATATTTTGATAATGTAGTCTTGAAAAGTATAGTTCTTTTCTCATATCGAATATTACAATTTTCTGTGAGATTCTTTTACATTGATTTCAATATAATTCTCTGATTTTTAAGTTACTATGTAAAATCATATTTGATTTGTACGTAAAATTTTCTTAAGAAAATATCTTTTCTTGTGTCAAACAATCGCACTTTGTTTTGCAGACCCTTTGCTTTGATTTACGTATGATTTTATCTAATTTTTAATTACTATGTTCAATCATTTTTCATTTACACTTTAACAAATTCAAATTCTTCAAAAAATTTTCTATTTGGATTTAAACGTTTCAAACTCGAACAAAAATCATTTGCATTGATTTAAATATTTTTTCGATCGAACTTTAGATTGTTGCAAGGGATTTTTTTTATTGTTACGTTGGTTGAAATAAAAATTGGATTTTGTAGAGAAAAATATTGAGAAGTTGGTTAAATGAATTTAATGCAATATCAAAGATCGTATCTCAAAGTGAAGATCGATCCAGAACTGCATCCAAGATCCGTTCGTTGTCGTCCTCGTCGTGGGTGGACCAAACGGTGGAAAAAGAAAAGAAAGAGAAAGAGAGAAAGGAAGGTTAGGAAGGGGAAGAAGGAGGGGAGGAGATCTCTTCGCGGAATATGTTTACATTAAAGGCGTGTCTTAAAGAAGAAGTAAAAAAAAAAATCGAATGAAAGGAGGGAGGAAACCGCAAACAGCTTAACGAGTTCCGCGCTTCTTGATTCTCTTTTTTTTGTGTTTTGTTTTTTTCTATTTGCAAAAAAACTTCGGCGATCTTGTATTTTTTCTCATTTGATTGGACGACGTTCGCATAATCTTAGGCTGTCTGGATTCTATGCTTATAATATTTACAAAACAAATATATATTCTATAGTTAAAAATTATCAAATTAAAAAGGAATTATATTAAATAAAATATTAAATCAAAATTATTGTAATAATGTATTAAATAATAATAAAAATAATAAGAGAGAGATGTATATGTAACATTTAATAAGGAAAAAATAATATAATTTTAATACGTTGAGAATACTTTTGAAGGTAACAGAATAGTAACCAATTAAAAATTTGTACGACAAATAGGTAAAACAAACAATGATCGGAATATATCTATATAAATGTGTGTAAAGAGAGAAATGGGATAGTTATTTTTACGAAAATAGTGATCTACAACTTCAGTCACATCCCGAATTTTAATATTAGTGAAGCTCAGTAAAGAACCAAACCTCCACACTCCACCCCCTACTCCCGCGTTCTCGTAAAACGTGGGAACGAAGAGAAAAGTCGTCGTAGTCCTTGGAGGCAGGAATTATGAGCTGGGGTAAAACAGGGGCTAAAAGGGGGTGGTTTCTTCGGTATTATTAGATTTCTTGCGAATTACTCGCGCGCGTCCCATTAACGAGTCCCATCTGTCTGGATTATGCAGCCAACTCTAGCTCACTCTCGTGCGCGCGCGCGCGTGACCAAGACGATTTAGAGAGCGTTGTTTTTTCCAACCCAAAGGAAAAACCTTTTCCCCTTCTTCTTCGACTTATCATTAAACAGGATCTAGCTTCTTTTTCGTTTTTCTTTTCTTCTCCTTTCTTTTTTCTATTCTCCCCTTTTCGAATCGTACGATTTCGATTACTATCACATTCATTCTCACGTCTTATTATAATTTATCGACCATCATTGTCGATAGGATTTAATCATTTTCGAATTACGTTTAATCCTTAAATTTGTAATAAAAGGAAAATTTGTATAGAAAAGAAATATATGCTACCAGTATAACACGATTATTATTGATAACAGAAAAAATTGTTGTTTCGGATGAAATTAATTTGATCTCTAGATTAGCAAATATGCTTAAACTATGATCTATTAAATTTAGTTAATCAGAAGTTTACTGTATTTCATTGATAAGAGTGTTTTCATACTTTCTAATGATTATCTGAAGAAGATTAAGATTGTTGTACCGTAGAAGAACCTTGAGGAATTACTAGGAGAGATTACATCGTTATTATCAATCTTGAGAAAGGAGAGTGTAGGGGGAGTGTATGGGGGAAGGAACGCGAGTGGAATACATTCCCCTTTTAGACTTCAGTTATCTATAAGTCTTAATCCTTATGCTCGATTAGCGCGACGAATCGCTAATGAGGGCGTTTCAATTTGAATTCTCCTTCATACACACACACACACACACACACACACACAC